TGATGAGAGTCCACGGTTATTTATTGGTGATTATAGGGGACGGTACAGGGATGAAACCACAGGGTGTTAAAGAAAGGGCTGGTTGGGATTGATGTCTAATGGTGCGTTTCGTAAAACTCGCAGTGTGTAGCTGTATAAGGACTTGTCCATCTAAGTAACAGATTAGTCATCGTCAATTGGCAATCAATGACGCAAAATACACTCGATGCAATAGTGGATCGATTAAAACTAGCTTCGCTACTTTAGTAGCCATAGATTAAAGATTATATTAAACTCAACCTTCACATAGAATTAAATACAATTCTGCTTGAATTATGGCTGCAAACTGAACGAATAGATGTAGTGTCTTATGTGTGTTGCCAAGGACAACATGTGATTATCTGTCCACTGCTGTAACGTATCCGGAGATGTCATCTATTTGAAAGACAAGATCTGACACAACTAGACGCGCGCATAGCTATCGGGTGATGTCATAATATAGATGTTTCCATTATAGGTACATTAACTGATACGTATCACAGACAACCTCATTGAAGTGATTAATTTGCCTCACCGGAGTGCTATGTATATTACTTAATAACATGCACACTTAGCATATCATCCACGTGATCGCTTAGTAATATTTCACAAGCATAGATATACTAGTTTTAATGTGACTCCGTATCAGATATGTCCTGTAGTAGGGAGATATCATAGTGACCATAGAAGACATTGTTAGTTTAAGTAAGCGTGACATGGGCACGGTAAACATAATTGGATGAGCTGTTACAATCGCGGTTTCAAATTCGATTGTTGTCTATATGACATTTGTCAAGTACCACCCGGAGAAGAGTTTATTACGTTTCAAATCCGTGCATTATTTCGGAATCACAATAACAACATAGTATTACGAATATGGATTTATAGCATAGCCAATTAATTACTTATGAAAAGCCATAGAATATAGTATAACGTATCTTGGCGTATTCTACACTATCGCATCTTACTCATACTTCACTGCAAAGATGCCTTCAATAGCTGTAGGGTTTGGTCGGATTGAAGCTATAGTAACGATATTTAGATATCACCGTTTAATATAAATGAAATAAGGGGTTGATACTATACATATATTTCAAATTTAACCGAACCACTTCACCGAATGCGAGGATTTCTTCCCTAGCGAACATTTCAACTTGTTTTGAAAGCGCCACAATCTGCGTCACGGTGCAGCGTGTATTCGAATTACTTGTAAATAAAGTAACTGAAGAATGTATTTTACGTGCGTTGTGTGTACGTCGTTTCGTGTCGAACACGTCGCGTCGCGACTAAAGCCCTTTTAGAATAGTTCGAGAACATGTAGCAAAACGTGATAATGAATTCCAATTACCAAAACGAATTACTAATGTCCATGCCATTTAACAAGGAACTAAAATTACAATCATCAATAGAAGTTGAAATGTGTTTCTTTGACTGAGAAAGCCCAGCTGTCCCACGCCCGCCATTGGTTGTATTTCATCCAGCTGATCATAGAAAAATACTAATAGCTGCGTTGCAGTTTGGCGAAGGTTTTTTTTCGCAGCGACGCTAAGTGGGCTGAATTGGTTCACAAGGAATACCAATCCACGTGCAATGAAGGAATGAACGGATTACAGAGACGGTGAAACAGATCAACAATCCAAAGCATGTTATTTTACCGTAGTTTTCTTTATAAAGTGATGGTTTCCTTCCAATAATTTATGTTGTGGTGTATCATCAGTAACGTGTACCGTGTCAATCTGTTGTGGAAAACCGTTTTGCCGATCATACATACTGTATCTAGAGAAAAAATCTCGTAATATTAGAATATGCACCGCGCGTACTTATCGTGTGTACCACACGTCGCTGTTATTGCTTTTCTTTAATGGAAATACATCTTCTACACACATGTAATACAACCTCCCACCGAGCAGAGTATAACTATTTCCAGTTTGTTTCTACCGTTCGAATTCGAATCAATAAAAAACTCAAATTAAAAGTCGCACTATAAAATCTTGTTAAGAAATACAACTGTTGAATATGCACGCGCGCTGATAGCTTCTACAAGAACATTATTGTTACCAACTGACTAGACTATTTGTCTAATTCTGTCCATGGTTTTCTCATACTTAGGTGTGTATGTGTTAATATATACACAGCGCTCTGTTGACACGCAACAGCGGTGTACACGTTTCCATGGTTACAAAGGATGAGATATATCACGACAATAATCGGATAATTGATGAATTCCAAGAATATCGACTGCCACTTGAAATATGCACCCTTCCCATCTGCTCATCTTGTTAATTCGACAAATTAACTATTTCAACTAGAAAATTGAATGACGCGCTTTCAAACCTATTTAAAACGGTCTCCCGGATTTAGAATTATGTGATATTCCTGATTTCGTCGTCGTCGTAGCAACTACTAGTAAGCAATATTTGGGCACTGACTGAATTCGGTTCTACACAAAGGCTTGACGTACACCAGAAATATGTACGAGACACACTCCACATTGATTTATCTTGTTATTTCAAGTTCGTCATCATCATCGTTTAGACCCCTTCCCGCCCATCCATAAGGTACAACAGTTGTAACCGGGTGGGATATATTGCTAACACGTCGTTCATGTCAATATATGGTCGGACAACCATCATCAAACCTAACCTAGAACTAATAGTTAGCATTTACATTAATTACGTACATTTACACATTGCTCCGCCAGCGACTCATACATGTGGCCTGGTCGGGAAGAAGGTGGGTTCACGATCGGTCTAAGGATTGCCCAAGATATCATCATTTAAGTGTTCTTGATATAAGCTCGACATAGACATGGTAGTCGTTCAATCAATATTAAATACACATTTTTATATCTTTTTATAAGAGTTTTAAAACGTACATTATCGTGCAGTGGACATTCCTTATCTTTATATCACTGACAACTTGACGGTGTCTGACATGAAACACATCCAGTAGTCAGTCACTGTGCTCCTCATTGTACAAAAAATGCAACTTCCACACTGGTCATTATTAATGAGCGAAAACACGCTAACAATAACACGCAGTTCCGTTTTACCATACTGTGTTCCAGACAACTATTATACTTTCAGTTACATCAAACATTAGAGCTAAGTTCATAAGAGTAGGAGTGTTAGACGACCGTTTGCCAATCCAATTTCCGGTGATCGGAGATCGTCCATTGACATGACAGTGGTCAAAGGTCACGTACAACAACTGAAACATTATTTATGTTGATTATAACATTAAAATAACCCATCATCACAGTTTTAATTTATTTCATAATAAAGAATATGAGATAGCGTTTGTAAAAGGCGCATTTAACTACACGAGTTTCATTTTCTTTTCCCGAATAACGCGCGCGTTAAACAGCGCCACAGGATTCGTGTCATGGACGCGACCTTCCATTTAGCAACCAAGTTAAAATTGGTTATATTTATGACCTCCAGCGTTTTTTCAATACTACAAGGGACGCACAAATTGAGGAATTACTTAAACGTTTTTTTTTTCATTATCTTCCCATCCGCCCAGTCTGACATGGAGAACCGTGGATTATGGAATACGTGTCTATAGTTTGCATTATATCGAGCTTTTTTCGTAGGAAGATATAACTTGAGCAGAACCCGAATATCACTGTTACAAAGCGATAGTATTCTTACGTCTGCACGTGCGCCGACCGACACGGGATATGAGGGTGTTATTGGCCCGCTGGGTCCTGTCGTGAATGAGTATAATGTACTTACTGAATTTGCATGTATACCGGAAGTCGGGTAATGGTTACTCTAAGTCCAAAAACGCGGATGAATCGCAGTGTAAAATGGCAAACATTTGTCCCTGTTTTATTGAATAAATAACATTAGCGAATACGGAGACAGTCAACTATGACAAACATCAAGGCAACGATGTCCCGTCGCTTGGTTTGTCACGTCATCATTCGAGCGCAAACAACAATCTCCAAATTACGACGTATCAAATATGCCTATATTGTCCCTGAGGACATTCTTTACTGTACTGGTTATATTGCTTATGTATGTAGTTATATGCTGGATATAATTGGTGATTTGCAGTTTTGGTCACGAATTGTGTAACCGAATGTTACGTAGACATATTCGTGTTTGAAAATCGACGAATAACGATATCGTATTACCACTTTCGTGGATTGAGTCGCATAGTAAAACGTCCTGTCAAATGTATACCTTGTTGAAACTCGTTTACGAATACACCATTTAAAAACCTAATTGAAAATCTGTTATTTTATCATCTTCTATTGGTCATATATTACGGGAGGATATTTTTTGTTTCGAAATTTATTAATCGAAAGACGAATCTATCACCTACTTGAAATGTGTACGTATGTCGTGTAATTTGTTTCAGAATATTCCAACGTAATCGGGTGAATAAAAAAGTTATAATATAAGATATCGCTCAAAATGAGGTACGCTAGTTTGCGCTGCTCAATTTTTAACCTCCGTGATGGCGTGGTTTCTGTTTGAAAACCGATTCTCACCGAGCGCTAACCAGAAAATGCCAATTTCAATAACTACCCGCACGGTTGTCATAAACAGTTGTCAGAACAATCTCGAAACACACCCGGGCCGTAGATGAGTTTAAGCTTATGTAATGATAATAAATAATGAATAGTAGAATATTGAGTTATATTTCATTCTACGATCAAAAGAACCGCGTGTTTCATGATGTATGATAATGTTATAACGACGTAATTTAAAAACATTTCTGTAATGTTGTTTTTGACATTTAAAAATTACGTTTGAAAAATTGTAATTATAAACGTCATATTTACTTTTTATTTTTATGTACGTATTTTAAAAAAAAAATGTCATAATGACGTTTTCATTTGATTACTTATAATTCCGTTTCCAATCAGCAGCTGTGTAGATAATTTACGAAGTATAAATTCGATCTTTAGCAGCTGCATTACTACATTTAGCGTCTTGATCACTAATCCTGTTTGAAACCTTCGTTTTCAGAACACTAACAACATGACTACGACAACACTAGCGGTGGCACTCTTCACTCTTAGTGCATTTCTTCTTTTGGACGCCGGGGTCGCCTATCCATTTCGACTCAACGATGACAAAAGGGCCGACGACGAATTATTTGACAGGGCCGATATAGACGATGGCGATTTCGAAACAATGTGGAGGAGAGCGTATTCACCAATCAGCGCAGTCGACACGTCAATCAAGGATTATTCCTCTATCGTAAGTTGTTTTAAATATATTTTAGAACGATTTAGGCGTTTCTAAGCTGTATAATATCCAAATATGTAATCTATTCTGCGTTCCACTATATATATATATATATATATATATATATATATATATATATATATATATATATATATATATATATATATATATATATCACCACTTTACTGCGCTAGGCTGCTGTGCGCCACCCCCTTATAATAACGCCTACCTACGAGGCTAGTACGTCATACTAGTATGTCGCATTACATTTTGCAAACGCGAGGGCGTACACCAACATTTAGGTTTGTCGGAGTTGGGCACACCTGTTATTAGTAAAAAGAATAAAGAAAACTCATCTGAAAGCGAAACCGTCCAAAAGCTTTTCAGTCGAAGCTATTGCCTATAATTTACTGGCCTGAGAATACGAATTTTATGCACAAAATGTAAGGAAGCTTCATTGTTATCTACTATTATATTCAGGGAAAGATGGCAGATTCAGGAACGTATTTATTCAAATATACTTAAAATGTCGAATCACAGTATTTTAAGCACATTGTATAATACCTCATTTAATCGAGTTTCCAATCTGGTAATGCATTGTCATTTGGTCACTAAGAGCCCTTCCTCTATACGCTCCAAATCTGATATACTAGTACACAGACGCAAAACCCAGGGAGATAAATGCGCGATTAGTGTTTGCCCCTCACGATTTTTTTTCATTTTTATCTCGCGTCTACCGTTCCACTAAGCTATGTAACCAAGACATTCGCAATGATGATGTGAAACAGATATCACACTGTTTGAAATGCACAAACAAGTGGCTCCCTCGCATTCAACGAGATCTCGTCGTCCATTTTTTCAAATATGTATATAGTATTTGGCGTCAGCTAGTGTATCAGTAAACCGTTTCGTAGTTATCGCATTACGATTTCGAATAAAGGGCGACACGAAGGTTTATATTTCTAAGATGTGGGACGTGTTTAAAAGTGCGAAAGCAAGAGTATAACTGTTTCCACTCTTTACCAAGTCCTCAGGCTAGTCATAGTGGTCATCGCGTATTCAAAAGTTTGAGTAAACAAATGATGTATATTACACCCGTTGTTTACGTCGCCATGGGACCCATATCAAACTCGACGCGGTGCGACGATCACCGCCTTTCACTATTTAAAATACATCCCCTATGATGTCACATTAGTCATCCTACGATTCACAGCCAAACACAAAATTATTTCCTTGTGGAGTCAAAAATCACATATTTTTTTTAATACAACAGTTTCCAATTCCAATAATGCACGTTGAGATGCCACACCATGATGTTTTGCAAATATTCATCATCAATTTCTATTTAGTTTATTTGAACGTCGGTCACACTAGAATTCATTTCGTGATAGTTTTGATTTATCTGTCATATCATGTTGCTCATCTGCGTTATCGTGTTTTCGATCTTTTGTATCATGTTGCCGATCTGCATTATCGTGTTGTCGATCTCTTGTAACATGTTGCCGATCAGTCTCTAATATAAGGTATATTTAATTACGGTTTGTGAGTACACAAAGCGCTAAACAACCTGCCCACTGATTATAGGCTAGTATAGTGACTGTTTGAATTACACTGGGCAGATTTTTCGAAGAGAAATACATCAAACCCTGTCATCCATTATTAACAAATATCGCCATTTTATTATTGTATATTCAACAGCTTTCTTGTTCCGTCGGTCAAGTATGCAAGCCCGCTGCCAAGACCAAGTTCTCATGTAAATGCAACATATTCACATACTGCGTGGCGCCTGGTAAATACGCAGCTGCTCAGTGCAAATGGAGTGCGGTGGGTTATGTATATAAACAACCATAAATCATGCACAAGTTTACACAGGTAAGGACGTTTCAGAATGGCGACAATGTACTGCTTCCCAGCATGCAACATTCAATATGGAGTCGATTGTGAATAAATTACGGTCATATTTGTGTAATAAACAGAAGAACCGACAGAACACAACAGAAGAAGTTTCAGCATTTCACATGGCATGAAATAACTATGACATTCTCACAAACGGACCAGAACAGGAAGTCAGTAGAAGACAAAGAAATTTTTCGTTAGCTTGGGGGAAATTTGGTTAGCTTGGGGAAAACAGAGGTGTTAATCCGAAAAATCATTGTCTTTTCCTGTTTGTGATTGGTCCTAGCAACGTTTGGGGGATCGTGACGTTGCTCCGTTTGTGAGAATGTTATTGTTGTTATCCTATTTATTTGCTAGTTTTTGCCTAGATTTTTCATTCCACTCATTGTTTTTCAGATGATAAAAACAGTTGGTAGTACGTTCCTTCGGTTTGAATTATATATATATATATATATATATATATATATATATATATATATATATATATATATATATAT